AAAGAATAAGTCTTTTTAAAAAATGTAACAGTGCTGCACATGCACAATTGCATTTGTGAAAAATATTTAATCCCGGAAAGATAGTTTTATATAAACCATTCAACTTTATTTTGTATTAAGTTTTTATAATTATAAATTAAACAGTGGTGTGAGCTGTCCTGTTGTATAGTTCACTTTGTATAAAAGAATTGTTATGCATGTCATATTCATTTTTTTTTGAAGTTCTTCTGTGTTTTACTTCCACAAAACTGATTAAATGGCTTCGAAAGTATTTAAGTATAACAAAATGAGATTCAATGGTTGATTACGGTTTGTACACGGTGCTTTGTAATAATTAAAAGTCCTTTTAGACGATTTTACATAAGAAAAGTAAGTCGAAATATAAAAAATAACATTTTCTACGTTCGGAACTTGAGTTTCGAGAAACAATAATTTGTTAATTTATCGAGGAAACCTCCGTTTATCTAACTGTCAATAAACCATACTCACATTTAATTTTCTCGACGATAATATTTTAAACAAAAGTTGTATTTAAAATTTTTAACTTATTTTTACGTGTAGAATATAATAAGAATCCACATAAATTTTCTTGAAAACGATATTTCAAGTGAAGAAATTTCATTCTATATTTTCGATTTTCTTTTCATATACATTTATCTGTCTCGATTGAAAAATTAGTTACATTTCGCGGCAAAAATTTTGTTTAATATTTACTTACTAAAAATACTCCCAGTGATAATTACACTTTAAATATTTTGTGTTAATTAACAATATAAAAAATTTTCAAAACTAATAATCCATTCATTATCATTACACATGATACAATAAAATGGCAACTTTAATGAACACTTTTTAAAGTTTATGCCCTGGTACTGTCACTTTAAAAAAAGCGTTAAAAGAAATTGCACAGCACCATTCAGTGACACAATTGATCAAATCAACCTGAACCGAAAGGTTAGAAGATTATGCCGAATGTCTGACCAATTAAAATGTTTTCTAACTAGTTTTGATATTTAGTTTCCCTGTTCGCTACACAGTCAGCTTATAAGCGATGCTTCCATGAAACATGCTCGATAATTGTCATGCGGTGTATGCAATGATATATATGTATATGGCTGTATGTATGGTGTGTAGTATACATTGGTCCATGAAAAGAATGACAATCACTGTAATCGAAATCGAAATGCGTTTTGTATGCAACTATATAATCTAAAAATCGAGAATAAAACTTGATCGTTTCTATTTCTGTAATTCGAATAACAAGCAAAAGACCCAGAAAAATTTGGTATCTTTCAATAATTCGTATATTACAACACTAGGCCAAATATTGTTTTAAATGTCAGATGGTAAATAAACTTATTGTATTTTCAAACTTATTTAAGTTTAGATTTTTAAATCGTATTTAAACAAATTTACTTTGCCAAATGTCAAGGTTTCTTGCATTAAAATATCATCTGTTACTTAGATTATCAAGAAATATTGCAAAGACATATTTCACATACAATTCTCACCAGAAAAATATTTTTTTTTTTTAATTTTAACCAGTTTCAGTGTACTACAGAATTTTCACCTAATTATTTTACTAATGAAAGAGTATAGTTTATCGTAGAAAAAGACGTCAATGTATAGAAATTAATCAATAATTTTCTTAAGAATCATAGAAAGACATTAACCGTATAATTTTTGAATAAACAATTTTCACTTCCACCAACGGCACGTATGGAGGAAATTACAAAATAGTACTATAAAAGTAAAGATTCTAATGCATGAAGACCAGAAATAATGAAAAATGTTAATGAAATCTTCCTAAAACTTAATGAATTGGAAAAATGAAATGTTCGAAATAAGGGACTGCCCCTAAAACGATTTTCAGCAAACTATTCAGACCACGCAAATACGAACGTTATTTCGATAATGTATTATTGTTTCAAGT